CATTAAGAGTGATTATAATCCCTCATCTAGTGTCTGAACTACTTATTCTCATGCAAATAAAATCAATAGTATTCAAGTGTTGGTTTGTAGGGATTTGATTGATTACAGGATTTTCATCATGAGATGACATTAGTTAGAGAACTATTGGAAAACCTGGTAGTACTGGATAGCTTTTTCGTTCGACTAGTTTGAGACTCTTCACAGTATGCACCAACACCACTGGGTTCGAACCCAGGACCTTCTGGTTACAAGCCGAGCTCGTAGGCCATTAAGCCACTGGGACCCGATCCAATGGTCCATGAATTCTAAATTCTGCCAATTCACGACATAGCGCGACCCCTAGCCAATGTCTTCGGCGAGTATTTGTCCTCACCTTTTACCTGCTGCACCCTACTGGTCACGACTTCTCACTAGAACTCCAGGCAACTACCCACCTGAATAGGGCAAGTCACTAGTGATTTACATTATTTTCAACATAAAACATATAGTAATATTCGAAGATGTTCAGGGTGATGTTCAAGGGACTCCGGCAGGTCAGCTGATTATTCAGAAGCCACTAATTCAATTTTTTTATTTCAACCTCAGTCATGGCCTGCTACCTGAACGAAAATTTCACAACCAAGGGCTGTACGAGATCGGTTTATCATCAGGTAGTTTTAATTTTATTGATTTTTTAAAATTTTATTCCTTTAGGTTCCAAGTGGAGCATAGGACTCAAAGCTAGAGCTTTGAAGTTTCGGTTACAGTGGCTTTTGCTTTTATGAAGTTGGGTCATTAGTCTCTCACCCAATCTTCCTTCTTTACTGGTCTTAGAGAGGTTTAGGAGGGAGTCGGTCAAAGATCGCTCGTGGCACTACGCAAATAGATGTCAAGCCTTCTACCGGCGAACAACTGACGTACGCAACATCAAGCAGTAGATGACTCAAACGGTTAGCAGCGGTTCACATTTCTTTGTGTTTTCTCTCCCAATATATTTTCATAAGAAAAGCGCCCTTTTGTTTACTGTCAAGAAGCACTAGTTTAAGGATTGACAGTCAAACGATGGACATTAATTTTCTAACGATCTACATAAAATGTTTTATCCTAGACGTTGTAAATATATATATATATATATATATTGTGAATAACAGTTAGTTTCACGTGTAGCCACCTGTAACATAGACAGACTACAGCTATCCAATTCAGGGACGCTCAAAAATCTACAAACAAACGCTAACAGGTTTTTGGGGAAGACGCATGAGGAAACAGGACTTCAAGAGGGTATATATAAAATAGAAGTGATAAAGATAATCAATCAACAAGAAAATCAATAGATACTAATAAATTTCTTTAGGAGATATAGATTTAACTACAAGCAGCACAGATAATGATATCAGAGCCATCTAGGATCGAAAAAGCCAATCAGACATTCTTTTACTCTGAAATCTACGACACTCAGCATAACAATAATAATAATTTGCTTTATTCCAAAACAGTACTTGTGATACAGAATGGAATTTTCAGCATTTTTACTACAGTATTGCATCCAGTTAGTACATTATCAATGAATAGAATTCTACATAGATTAAGGAAATCTGAGTTCATTATGACAACAACATATTGGCATGTCGGTAGCAAAGCCAAAGCTGAACAGTGTTTCAAGGTGTTAGAAAAGTAGGTGCTATCATATTTATTGGCGTAAGCGGGAGAAAGAGACAAAGCAGCACATAACGGAAAAAAAGAGTGAGAGAGAATAGGATAAGAAAGAAAATGTTGTACCTATAAATGATATGATTTGGAAAGACGAGGTCCAGTTGTTCTACTTACTATTTAATGAATTATAGGTGTCACGCCTAATGCTTTCTTTATCACACAGAACACGAGTTAAGTAGGGTATGGTTGAGTTTTTGTACTTGCTAGTGAGAGCATATAGTTTTCTATATAGGCTTCTGGTTTCGCCTGATGAGATGCAAGGGGAGAGTTGTGAGTGAAGAGGGTGGTGTGAGTTAGATAAAATAGATTTGGCCCATTTTTCACATGAGTCCATGTGCCTGTCGACCAGAATATTAAGAAGCTGGTTAAGTGGCACGTTGCTTACCCTGCTGACAACCTTTAGCATCCTGCGTAATATGTTATAGTCTTTTTTCAGTAGCCCGGGGAAAACTAAGGAGGAGCAATAGAGAATAATAGGCAGGTTGCGAGAATTAACGAATTGTAGGAGTAAGGGTTGGGTTATACCAGAATGTTTTAACTTCTTGATGTAGAAGGTAAGAAGGAATATTTTCTTAGAAATCGTCAAGATATGAGACGACCAGGAAAGATCAGCAGATAGAATGACGCCTAGGTATTTGATTTCCGACTTGGTTTCTATTTCAGTGCCATCTATGTTGCACACCTCGTGAGAGCCAACCAGTTTGTTTAGGTCGGATTTATGCCTAAAGGTGAAATTGACTGTTTGGTATTTGGAGGGTTTTAAGGTGAAACCGTTTTCTTTGGACCACTGGCTGATTTCTGACAGAGAGCCATTTAGTTTGGAGCAGTCACTTTGACATTTGACAGGCAAAGATACAGTCAGGTCGTCAGCATATTTGACAAAATTATTGTCTTTTGAAGATGGTAAGTTACGTAGAAAGAAAGAAAAGAGAAGTGGGGAGAGTACAGCACCTTGAGGGACACCAGCTTCAGTGAGTACAGCAGAGGATGATTTACCTTTGTATACGGTGTCCTGCATTCTGTTAGAAATGTAGGAATGCAAACCAGTTAGTGACCCTGGACTCAGTTTTTGTCATAGAACGAGATTTCGATTTTTAATTTCAAGTCACTCAGTACTGTTTCAATATAGTTTAGAGACTTGGTGTATGCATCACTGAAGGCATTTACATCAGGCTTCTGCAGGCTTTTATCAACATCTACATCCATCGCCGGCCAGTATAGACTACCAATCAGAAACTCTGCTGCCAAGCAAACTACGATACTGTCATCTAACAAACATACAGAAAGAAACTAAGGTAGATTAGATACATGCGGAGGAGACTGTTTGGCAATATCACGCATCAAGTAAGCCGTCGAGTGTAACCCAAATAGTAAGCAATACCTTTTGCGTCACTTCCGAAGTGATCGTATTGAAAGGAGACGAAAGTCTATGAGAAGTCGCAAAGACAGCTTGAAAAGACTTCAAAGAACATAAAGAGATTCCATATTAGTTTGTTTATTAGATGAATCACACAGTGAGTGAAACAGTATTAATTACTGGATGACGTTTCAAACACAATTCATTATTGTTCATAATCATAACATCAATTATAATCACACGACTTCGAAACTTCAGTTTTATAGTTTTCTTTGTTCTCTCCTATTTATCGTCGTAGGGGTAGTAGAATTTTCCACAAAACTAAGTAGTAGCACAAAAACTAAGTAGTACCAAGGAAAATCTAAGACAGGAAGTAAGGCATATAAGAGAAGCTTTGAAACTTAATAATTACCCTGATAAATTAGTCAGAAAGTATGTAGGGAAATGTAAAAATAAAATAAGTAATAATAATAGTAATAGTGATAATAATAGTAATACTAATGACGACATGCATGTCAAATATGCGCAGGATAATGACAACACTATCAATAAGGAATCTAAATCATCAGTAGTAATTCCCTACAAAGAAGGAACCTCGAAAACCTTACGGTGAATTCTTAACAATAAACGCAGGAATAAAAGTGGCATTCAAACCCACAAACGCAATTAGAAAGAAGCTTCGTCGGTTAAAGGATCCTGCCAGTGGAGCCAATAAAACAAAACAATTTAGTTTGTGTATTACCGTGCTTGAATGATTGTCAAGTCAAATACATAAGTCAAAGTAGTAGAACAGGGGTAGTCAGACTAGCGGAGCATAAAAACCTGGCAGCAAAATCTAGATTATTTAATAATAGCAATAATAATAATCTACTTTATTCCAAAAACAGTACTTGTAATACAGAATGGAATTCTCAGCATTTGTCACAATATCATGCATCTAATTTACTCAAAATATAAATAAAATTAAAACTTAAAACGAAATTAACCGGAGGAATTTGTCCACATTTACGATATAAAGTCAAAAATATTTGAAGCACGAATTGAGATTATTAAATATAATAATAATAATACCAGTGAGTTTGTTTCAAACGGTATTGTCGGTTCAGTTTGGAAACTTTAGCATGTTATAGATTATTGGATCTAATGTTCTGTTGATATAGTATAGTGAGGGGAAACACAAAATTAACAGTTATAATACAGCCTAAATTATATCCACACTTATGAAAGAAAAAAATAAACATAAACAAAAAGTTGAGAGGATTATAAATATAAGAAATACAATAACAATAAAGTTTGATGCTGTAAGGGTGCAGGAAATGGTTTATTTAGTGGTGCAAAGAAGTTTAGTTATTTCATGTCTGACACTATTTTCATCACATAAAGTACGTTCTAAATATGGTATAGTGGATTTTTTAATACTTAGACGTACGTGCATAAAGATAAGAAATCTAGAGAATAGTTCAGCTATACCACTTACTACACGCAGTTACACACAACCATACAGCATAGAATGGGATAAGACGACAGTTTTAAAATCTAATGTAACAGCATGGTGGGGTAAGAGACTGATAACCGAAGATTTGTTTATCGAATCAACTACAAACACGTGTAATAGGAATGATTCAACACCTGTCCTAGATATCTGAAGAATTCTGCCACCCCTACGACAAATAGGAGAGAACGAAGACAACTATAAAACTCAAGTTTCAAAGTGGCACAGTGGTAGAAAGCTCGCCAACCACTCATGTGGTCCAGGGTTCGATTCCTGGCCGCCAACGCACTCCTTTACCTTACTAAGCCAGTAATAAGGCTGGTAAAGAGAGAAGGTTGTGGAGCATAAGGCTAGCAACCCCATCCCGTAAAAATCAATACTAGTAGAAAAAAGTATCCACAAATTCAGTCACCCACCCAACCACACACACACACACAAAAACACACGAAATGGACTTACCTCCCAAGTATTTTAGCAAATATAAATATCCCTTGGCCATCTGATATATCATCCACATAGGAAATAGACATGATGTCCTACTAATTTTAGACAGGCAATGATTGTACTTTGTTTATAGGGAAATCGTTTTGTTTTGTTTTCCAATCTGTTTATTCTCTTTTATTTTGTTGCCTTCAAATTGGTTTTGTTTCCCTTATTGCCCAGATCAATTGTGAGAACAATAGATACCTTATTTATATATATATATATCTATAGATGTATGAATGTTATGAATGTATCACTCTTTTTTCATAATATTATGTACTAAAATGCCTTATTCATTTGTACTCTACAGGATATTTATGGAGGTATGCGTGTGTGTGTATAGGCTTGCGTATGTATATTAGTGTGTTTATGTGTATTTGTGAGTGTGTGTGTGTGCAAACGTGCGGGGTTGTCTGTCACCATGGTCGCCTCTTCATCTCTTCTAATCGTATAATTGAAAACCACTAACTATCGGTTTAGATTACCTTATTCTTTCTAATCTTATATATTTATTAAATAATAGTAATATTAATAATAATAGTAATAATAAAGAAATTAGAACAATATAACATTGTTTCATTTCATTTCAAGATATATAAGCAAAAACAAATTATACTTAAAACTACAATTATCATGTGTTCTTAATTCTGATTGGTCAATATTTTTCACTTTTTTTAAATTGTGTGCCACTTTCAATATATATATTCAATGTACAATAGAAACTATTGGATGAGAATCTTTTTTTCAAATAATTGTTGAATAACGTATATATGCACATACACACAGGTTAACAGTACATAACATACACACATATATAAAATACTTTCTCATTTATTGATTAAATACTGTGCTCTTAATCATAATCATATTGTTTAAATGAATAGTAATGAAAGTAATATGTGTGTATTATGACCTTGGGACGAATATATACAGTATGAATGGTGTTGTTTTTTTTATTGATCCACTGTGAGATGGATGCTTTTTTTTTAATTTTTGAAAAAAAATTAGCGTTTAATAACTTTCATAATTGATACTGCATTCCAGAAATGACACTGATAAAATATATATGTTTCAATTATTTATTAAGAATAATTATCGACTGGGTATTCATTCTTAACTGTTGACAAACACATCTGGAAGGTGTATTGGTGTGAACGTGTGTGCTAGTCTCTTCTATAGTTGTACATTTTCACTGTGATTGTGTCTTTTGAGGTGAATGGTTTGTAGGGCGAAAGCAGGCTTTCCAATTAAAGGATCTAGTACATGTGGTAAAGTGGCACTAACTACATTCATCTGAGCTATAAATGTTTTCCATTATTTGAGAAGTATTGAGAGTTTGATGATATTTGATTTGAGATGGCAGCTGATGTGAACGAATTCATCACAATTTGCAATTTATGCAGTTTGAGAAGGGGGAATCTTACCACTGTTCCCTTTAGAAACCGAATTATTGAGATCATAATACATATACATGATCTGTATTTACGAGTTTAACAAAGAATTGGTATCAGTTGGAGAACTATTGGAAACCATCGAGGGAGTACTGGACAGCTGTTTCATCATAGTTTGTGAATCATAGGCAGTACACAACCACACCAGGGGGTTCTAACCCAGGACCTTCCGGTTACGAGGCAAGCTGGTATACCATTCAGCCACTCCTCAATGGCCAACTCATGAATCCTAACTTATACCATTTTGTGATTTAGCGCGGCTGAGGATTCTCAAGCTAGGAAGAAACAGCTATCCAATACTGTCTAGTGGGTTTTCAATGGTTCTCTAACTGAAAGCAATCCGTTGACGAACTCTTGAAAACAAATCTAACCCTTACAAACCAACTCTTGAAAATTAATCTGATGCTCGCTAGTGATTCGCTACACCCTCACTATTCCCAACTCTCTCCTTGTATCTCATCAAGTAAAACCAGAAATCAGTATAAAATAATCTATGCTCGTACAACCAAGTACAGGAACTCAACGACACCATACTTGGCCCGTGTTCTAAGCGACAGAGACAATGTTAAGCGTGAAACCTATGACTTGCTTTGTTATTAACAACATAATTTTAGGTTCTTTTATTTCTCTCTTATTTTGTATTCTATAGTGAACTCCTTCTCAAACATACTTAGCTACCTAAATTATTAACATTGGCTTCCTTTTTTGTACTTTACTATATTCCTTCTATTGTGTATCCACTGGTTCCGACTCTATTAGCACTATGAGTAGTACAAATTTTCCTGCCATTAACCATCATGTAATTATTAGTTTTTGTGGTTGTTTTTTTTCTTATTTTTTATTTTTTTCGGCAATATTAAACTGACAGTCATTGGTTGTGAACTCCATTATCACCCCTAAAATTTTGTATTACGCAGGATTACTCACACTTCCACTACAAACAATGCACTAGACCTGACAATAAAAAACAAAACAGCAACCCTGAAATGTTATTTTATGTTTGTTTAGTGTTTGTTTTAACCTAAATTAACTGATCATCTTGGCGATAAACATTCTTAAATATCATTTCATTACTTCTTGTATGACTATAGCTTTACTGTCACCATGCATAAACACATCATAGCTTCCACTATCCAATATTGAGTTATTATTATATGATTTTTATTTTCCTTTCTACCTCTTGGTACTTTTTCGCATTTATAATTATTTTGTGTTTATCCTGTTGTTTTTTTTTTGCTGTTGGTGTCTTTAGATTTTTTTTGTTTGTTTAATACTCATTTTAAATGTTTGATAAAATTAGATGCAAATTTTGTAGAAAATTCTACACTGTACCACTAGTACTGTTTCTGGAATAAAGCAAATTATTATTATTATTCTTGGAGTTCTAGTGAGAAGTCGTGACCAGTGAGGTCCATCCAGACGTTAAGTGTGAGGATGGATGTCCCACCGATGACAGTGGTTGGTAGTCGTGCTAAATCACGAATTAGTAAAAGTTAGAATTCATGGGCTGGCCATTGAGGAGTCAGGTCCCAGTGGCTGAATGGTATACGAGCCAGCTCGCCTTGTAACCGGAAGGTCCTGGGTTCTAACCCCTTGGTGTGAGTGCGTGCTACTGAAAAGTCCCAAACTAGGGTGTAGGAAACAGCTGTCCAATGCTCCTGTGCTGGTTTTTAATGGTTCTCTAACTGATATCAATCCGTTGTCAAACTCGTTAGAGAAAATCTAATCTTTACAAGCCAACTCTTGAAAATAGATATGATCTGCCAGTTCGGCTCTCTGAGCCAAGTCAAATCGGGTGCACTGGTGATGAGCTCTGTTAAAAACGAGAGAGAGGCGATTGTCTGGTGTTTAGATCATTTTGATTTTTTAGCTGACAATCACTACTGGTCGATATGAGTAGTATAAATCTACTCATGCTCAATCAATCAGCAGTGGATAGTTTTGTGATGCCGAAGAAGTTATCACCATACTATGGAGATAATTTCGAAACGATATCCTGAAATACGTTAGGTTATATTTTGATATTAGAATTAGAAACAATCGACAGGGATCCTTGAATCTAAGTTTCGTGCTTATATTACCCATCAGTAAGACGTATCTGCAACCCAAGGGGGACTCCTTTCCCTCACAGAAGATTTGAATTTGCATAAGCCAGTGCTGCAATCAGAGATACTGGTACTGAGGTTTTTTGAATTACGACTACCTTCATTGAAAGAGATACAGGAACAACCCAATAATTCACAAGAGAAACTGTGTGCAGACGCTGTTTAGAAGAAGTCTGAATACACCGTAACTCTCCGGTACCGAATAAATCAGAAGAAAAATACCAACTTTCTTGAAAGAGAATGAATATCCGTAGAGATTCATCAAAAACTGTCTAAAACTAATGTCGTATTACTTACAATAAACTATCATCAAAAAAGGACAAGAAAATGCACTGCACCTTGTATAAAGAATATTTCTGAAATAATGGCTAGAATACTTTGATTGGACACTAGTCAGTAACTAGTGTAATGTGTTTAGTCCTCCTTTCTTTGGTGCAGACTGAATTCTGCCAGTCAGATTTGCAATGTGGCCACCATTCCAATAGGTAGCTCGCCATCATAGTACACATTGATTTGATAATATCAGATGGTTTGAGGCAATTGGCAGGAAGTCTTGCTTGACCTAGGTTTCGTGCTTGCTGGCACTCATCAGTCAGCAAGTCAAGTGTATCTGAAACCTTGAAAGAAACTCATGTCCCTTCTGAGATTCGAACCCGTATTACACAGTGAGTGTTGCAGTCAGAGACGTTACCACTGAGCTATTCAGGCTCGTGATTGACTTCCTGTAGGACTGAAAACTTGACTGATAGAATTCAGCGTACACCAAACAAAGGACTAGACACATTACAATAGTTACTAACTAGTGTCCAACCAAAGTATCTGTCAAAGTATCACAGGAAGTCAATCGCGAGCCCGAATAGCTCAGTGGTAACGTCCCTGACTACATGCAACACTGGATGACACAGGTTTGAATCTCAGAAGGAGTATGAGCTCTTTCAAGGTTGCAGATACGCTTGCCTTGTTGACTGATGACTGCCAACTACCACGAAACCTAGGTCGGACCGGGCTTCCTGTCGATTGCCTCCAACTATCTAATAATTGCCAGAATACTAAGACTTGTACTTAGTAGTATTCTCTAAGCTGGTTGTCGTCCTTCTGGAAAACATCTTCAGCGCAATATTTGGCATAAAGTGAAATGATTTAAATTTTTCTTGAGTGATATAAGTGCGTCTCCTGGCAACCATCTTTACATATGTATTGACCATTTTCTATTGACTTGGATTTTAAACTTTCTGGTCACCTGATTTACTTTTTATTAGTTGGTATATTTGGTCTATATTAACGCGTTCGTTAATTACTGATTCGTTTTGAGTACCAGGCTTCTGGGAATTCCCTGGCTTTTTTGGTGTTTCCTCTGTCTAAGATTTTGACATTATCTCAATCAAATTGATGTCCATAATTGTCTGTATGCATTGATACTAAGGAATATATATAGTGTCTTTTCATGGCTGATTTGTGTTCTTGGATTCTAATTCGAAGGGGACGCCCACTTTGGCCGATGTAACGTCTGTTACAGTTCATACAATTTATTTTGTAAATGGTATTAATTTTATCTCCTTTTTCTGTTGGATCTTTCGGTTTGCTTAATATCGAATTAAGCGATTTAACTGGCTTGTGTGCCATATCTATACCAAACGGTTTCAGTATTCTAGCTGTTATTTCAGAGATGCTAAGACTGTTTGATATAGATACATCGCAAGGCAGTGAAACCATTTCATTCGATTTTATGCAGACCGAAAGATCCAACAGAAAAGACAGAAACGATTAGTACCATTTAGGAAATAAATTGCTTGAGCTGCGATAAACATTACCTCCGTCAAAGTGGGTATCTCCTTCGTCTCCGAATCCAAGAGCAAAAATTATCTGTGAAAAGGTAGGATTTGTAATCAGCCTTACTGATGTATTTAGGTGATTACGGAGAAAAATTTGATTGGAATATTGTAGAAATTTTAAAATAGAGGAAACATCGAAAATGCAGTCAGGGAATTTCTACAAGCTTGATAATCAAATCAATTAGAGAA